TCAGCTGTAATGTTCATTTTTTTGTCACAAGAAGGCAAAACAATGTCAAAATAATGACCTGGGACAAATAATTTGCTAAGATGAACATGCAGGTCAGACAGGCCAGAGCACATTCCTGACAGTTCTGGCCTCTGGCTGCAGGATGGACAGGGGGCCTAAGGCTCTGTGCTCCCCAGTCCCTAGCTGGCTGCTGCCCTCTGGCTGGAGAGAAGAGGTCCAAAGCAAGAAGGTTTGGAAATAACTGGGTTTCTATTTTGCAAGTCCTTTGAGTCATTTTAGGGTCCTTCTAAGTCATGTTGGCAGTCGGACCTGTGATCAGCCTCCTGTCCTAGCATCTGTGGCCGGAGTTGGCTGTGGCAGTCTGCCACCGTCTGTTCTGATTTATGTGGAGCTGTGTTTCTGCTGTTACTTATCTCCAGAGACCAAAGGATTTTGACCAAAGAATTTCTTCCATTGCACAGGTTGATCCTCTGTGTCTAGGATGGCCACATACTCCAAATATTCTGTCTTTTTTCCTTCAAAATGTAGGGTTGGAACATCTCTGTATGCTGGATACCAGGGTGTGGGAGTGAGTGTGGGAGATGCAGTTCCTGTCTTGGTGGAGCTGGCTGCGTTGTAAGATCATACATTTGGATGTAGGATTTGAATATTATCACTGGCCTTGATAACCAAACTCTCCAGTGGGCAGTAAATCCCTTAGTGTAGGAATTTAGGCTAGGTTGCTTTTCTAGTCTTTCTTTCTATCGCACTTGCTGCTAAATGCATCTTTACAGGAAACAGCCATAGTACAATCCTGTAGGTAAATTTTAAGCTATTATGCCAAGGAATAGCTCAATTTGGAGATTCCGTGTTACTGGTTATACCTGTTGCTAATGGCGGCTGCATTCCACGTAGGGACTATGCCCTTTTAGTTGGCTGTTTCCTTTTTCCTTCTTTAGTAATATATATTTTTTTATTCTGTGCATTTTTTAGGGCTTTTGTTTTCAAAATAATTTTGCCTAATATTGCTTCATGCCCAGGAGGCTTTCAATAGGTTTGCTCTACATTTAAAAAAAAATTTATATTTTAATACCAACCAACATCATAAGTTAAACAAATCTTAATTTTGGCTAGTTTTGAACATAATACAAAAGGAGACAATGAGCCACTGACCCTTCCCTCCAGCTCCACAAGCCCTCAGCCCATGGCCAGTCCTGCTTGGTCTACACGCCCGTCCATTTCCTCCACCCTGGACAAAGAAATAAATAGATGTCATAAATATTTCAGCATGTTTCTCTAGCAGATAAAGACTGTTTCCCAATAGTATCACAATGCTACTAACATGCCTAAAATAATTAAAATTTATCTTGTAGAAAGATACTGTAAGGATATGAGAAGAGAAAAATTTAGATACAAATACCTTGCCCAACATATCGGCTTTTTTTTTTTTTTTTTTTTGAGTTTTTTGCCTGGGGCTGGGTTTGAACCCACCACCTCCGGCATATGGGCTGGCACCCTACTCCTTTGAGCCATAGGCGCCGCCCCATATCGGCTTTTTTTCCCCCTGTGTTTTCTAGTCTTCACCAAAAGCATACCAACATTTGTTAAACCAATAGTAGTCTCTGCTCCTTAGCCACTTTTCTGGGTATACCTGTTGTGAATTGGGCTGAACATCTCTGCTCTACCATCTGAGAGGAACCAAGGGGGCTCCCTTCAGCTGGACCCTATTTATGAGGTCTGTGGAATTCCCTAGAACCTCTTTCAACTTTTAAAGCTCCCTGTTCATTCAGCAAATATTTGTTGAAAAACTTGTGTGTCAGTTGCTGTTAGATGGTGGTAGTTATTGTGGAAAAGAAGAGAAAGAAGGGCCTCGACCTACTGAACTCACAGGTGATAGGGAAGGAGGCCTCACCTATGTAAGGACACCAGTGGTCATTTGGTGTCTTGGCTGAGTGTTGTGGAGAAAGGTGAGAATAGACCAAGGATACAGGCCCGGGCTGGAGGGTCAAGGAAGGTGTTCTGGAGGGTTCTTAGGGTGTTCAGGTTGGCCCCTAAAAGAACAGAAGGGAGGCAAAGAGGCAGGGTTGGTGTGGGGAAGTAGAGAAAAGTCCCCCATTCTGGGCCTGCCTCTTCCAATTGGCCCAGGACCTGAGGGCCAGCCTCAGCTTCCCCACCCTTTGAGACTCTGAGATGCCATGGAAATGCGAAGTCCAGTTCTGCTCCTGACAGCTGTTCTGGAAGTATTGCAGAGCTGCTATTTGGAGAGACATTTAGAAAGCACTTTCAGGCTCTCACTTGACAGCGCTAGTACATTTACACAGAAGGGTTATTGTGAAGATTAAAGAAAGTAATATACTATAAAATTGCTGCACAAATCCCTTTTCCTTCTCTCTCATTGTGACGGTGTCGTGGCCCAGTAGCTCCCAGGCTGCTTCAGGAGTCCTCTCCTCCAGGAGTGGCCCAGCCACCGCCTTGCTCCTGAGCAGAGTCCTGGGACTGTGCCCTTCCCTGGGGCCTATTCTTTAGACCTGGACACTTATAAAGACGATCAATTCAAACATAATGCTTTTTAAAAAAGAATTGCCAAAAATGATAATTCAAAGGGTACAGAAGAGCATCAAGGAAAAAGTAAAATCCCATTTTAGTGAGGAAACTGTGATGAAAAATTTGGATTCTATCCTTTTGGAGGTTTTACACACATAAACATAAACGCTCTTTTTTTTTTTGACGGAGCCTCAAGCTGTCCCCCTGGGTAGAGTGCCATGGCATCACGCTCACAGCAACCTCCAACTCCTGGGCTCAAGCGAGTCTCCTGCCTCCGCCTCCCAAGTAGCTGGGACCACAGGCGCCCGCCACAACGCCTGGCCATTTTTTGGTTGGAGCCATCATTGTTGTTTGGTGGGCCCGGGCTGGGGATTCGAACCCGCCACCTTAGGTGTATGTGGCTGGCGCCTTAGCCACTTGAGCCACAGGCGCCGAGCCCATAAACACTCTTAAAACAAAAATCAGTGCTATGAAATGTATTATTTTTTCGCTGAGTGTCTCTTAGATGCCCTTACATGTGGGTAGCCTTTGTGCCCTGCACAACCTTGCAGGCTGTGTTCCACAGACCTTTGTCCTTGGTGTCGTTTGTGTTTTCCTGCCTGTCTGTGGCCCTCATCATCCTGTCTGGGTCAGGAGCAGTGATCTTCCAGCCACCTGAGTTTTCCTGAGTCTTTTGCTTTGCAGAAATGCATTTCATCGGCTTGTTTTTCAGGAACTGGGTGGAGTCCGTGCCTGAAAGAACATGCTTTTGTTTTCTGGTATGTGAGTAGTTTCGTTAGAGTTTCCTCTTCCTAGTTGTATTTCTAGTGAATTAGGGATACCTTAATGCCAGCTCGTCACTCCATTACAAATCATTAACAGCTCAGTTTCCCAAACGTGCACACGAATGTCACAAGTTGAGTCAGTGCCTGTGAAGCCCAGGTGTGAGGGACTCAGGTGGGAGCGTTTACCAGAAACAAGTACACATACAAAGGGCCGCAGCCCTTGCAGTCCATCTTTGCTCAAGCATGTGCAGAAGGGTGAGAGGCAATGGATACTTCTTTTTCTCTTTAAAAAGCTCCCATTATAAAACAAAGCAAAACAAAACAAAAGCAGTACAAAAAAGGGCATAAAGACCAACGTGAAAGTCATCCCAATCTCAGCACCCTGTATCAACCCGCTGCCCTTCCTTAGAGGGGTCTACTGTTAATAATGGATCCTGTATCTTTCTAGACTTTTCTTTGATTTTACAAACCTGAATGAATGAGGTCATAAAGTACTTGCTGTTCTGTCATAATGAGTGATTTTGAATACAAATTACTGTTTTGTGCGTCAATAAATTTTGATAAACACTGGGAAAGAATGGATGCAAATGTGGCTGAAACGTTAGCTGGAGAGCAGTAACGATTATGAAGCTGGGACTTCTGTGCTGTGGCATTGTTGAGGTTCAGGGTCAGCCCCAGGGAAAGCTGGGAGAAGGCCGGTTTGCCGGTGAAATCTCAGTTCTTGGTGTTGTTTTTTCCCTTGCCTCTGTTCCCTCCATGTGGTGAAGGCCCTGCTCTCACCCCTGCATCTGACCTCAGCATGGGAGGAAGACTCACTGTCAGACAGAACCACACAACCAGGCTTGAGTCCAAATGTGTGACTGTGAGCAAGTGGCTTAATCTCTCCCACCTTCAGTTTCTCAGCTGTGAGTGGAGAGGACAATTGCTACATCACAGAGTGGCTGTGAACATTAAATGTGCTTAGGAACACGACTGGTTTATAAAATGTGCTCAAGAAATAGAGGGGCATCAAGACTTGAACATGTTACCTTCCTCAAAGGTATTTGCATTGAACAATGACCAAAGCTTTAACTGAAGGGATGAAGGGTCAGCCAGCAGGAGCAGAGGGATTCTGCCTGGCTTTACAGAATAATGTCATAAATGGTCACAACAGGTTTTGTACAAGCCTACTTCTTTTTCTCAGAACTTGACCCCTGGGCCAGCTGTCCTACCCTCAGAGGACAGCTTAGCTGCCAGGTGATAGCCAACTTCCACCTTATGCATTTCAAGCCATGTGTTCAGTGATGAGTTTGAAGCCACACAGAGGAACTGGTTCAAGGTGAAAGGTGGCATTGATAAGAGCAGCAGATTTCAAACCCTTGCTCTCCTTATCAGAGATAATGGAAGTCCATCAGGCACCTTTGTGGGAATTAGGAATGAGCGCCCCCTGTGGGAAGGTGGGGCTGTGCAGATGCCCTACGAGGTCAGTGGACAGGGCCTTATAGAAATTAACCCACGGTGCTCTTCCTCCAGGGTAAATGCAAGCCCCAGCCCAGGTCAGGTGTGACTTGGGGAGCTGAGACTAAGCTGGATTTCTGCTCCTCTCTGTCCCCACTGCCAGGCACCTGGTGCTGGGCACGACCTGCATAATCATACAGTGAGAACCCATTATGACAACTGTTTTCATGAGGACTCAAGAGTCATTATTTTTTTCCCCTCTTTTCTTTCTTTTAGCCTGCTGACCTAAGCAAGGGAGAAGCTACCAGGAAACTTCCTCAGGGTGTTGTTTATGGTGTGGTGCGAAGATCAGATCAAAACCAGCACAAGGAAATGGTGGTGTATGGGTGGTCCACCAGTCAGCTGAAAGAAGAGATGAACTACATCAAAGACGTGAGCTGTTTATGGGTCTATTTTTTCTGGTTTATATTTTACTTGCAGCACATCAAAAGATGGTGTTGGAAGAATTGATGTCAGGATAATACGGCATTTGAAAGAAGTCTTTGTGTTGCCATTTTAGGTAGAAATGTTTCTATGTATGTCCATAGTGAAGTTATAATAGAAAGTAGAGATGTAATTCTGCAAGGTAGGGTAGGTCGATCTTCTGTGGGATAGATGTTACTGAGCAGGTATACGCGGGAGACCAGATGGCTTCCTTCTTCCATGTGCAGTACGGAGGCTCTTAGGGGGTTTCGCTTATTACACTGAATACATCTAATGTATAAATTTGGACAACTGTATACATTTGGATGCTTTTGATTGCAAATAACAGAAAAGCCAACTCAAAGAGGAAATTCATCTCCCATAGGGATAAGTTTAGAGGTGAGTGGGCGCCAGGCGGGGCCCACCTGGACTCTAGTTCTCTGCGTTTTCATTTCTCCCTCTTCCTGTAGCCTCAGGCTCAAGGGGTCATCTGAAAACATGACAGTGTCTGGAGGAAGAAGAGAGGCTCCCCACCTCTGGATACCTGTTAGAGGCTCACACTGCACACCCATTAGATTACCCTTCTGTCTAGTTGGGCAGGACTGGGTCACTTGCCCAGTCTGAGCCCATCCCTGGCAAGAGAGGCAGGAAACTCTGGCTGGTACAGGGCTGTCACTCGGGCTGGAGCAAATGCTGTGCAGACAGCCGCAATGGTGTCATTCAGCCAAGGCCATCAGTGCCATTTCTTTGTATTCAATATTTTTTTTAATTTCATGTTCTTCTGAGAAAATTTTGAAAATATGAAAGTCAATGAAGAAGGACCCAAACTGCCTCAGGGGCGGGCCTGTGAGTGCACAGACCTTGCTTCAGGGTCTGGCTTATGTTTGGCCCAGCGTGTCACTTGGCCCCTGTGTAGGTTTAGATTGCAGGGACTGGACTTAACCCCTCAGGTCAAAACCTCAGTGCTGTGAACGCCTTTTTTTTTCTGTGGGCTTGTGGATAAGATGCAAAGCCACTCTGTCTCAGCCTTTGTATGAAATTTTAAAAGAAACATTTCTTTACTGAATTTAGAGAATAGTAATAAGTAGTAGAACAGTAATAATTAAGTAGAAAATATAAGGAAAAGCCAGAAAGGTTATGAAGTTACATATACACACACACAAAATGTGTGTGACACACTCCAGCCTCAAATCCCGAGTTATCCTGCCTCCCAAAGATAATACCATTTGAAGTGTTTCGTTCCTGATTTTCCTATTAAGAATAGCTCAGGCATTCTAAATTTCCCGTATTTTTCTCAAGGAGATATTTAAATTTTCCTCATTTAAATGCTCCAAACAGCATAGTATTGCTTTGAAGGTAAACCTTCTTTCCAAGTAGGGTACAGAGTCACAAATTGCCTAAGATAAAGATGGCAGGTTGAGGCTGGTCTGAGCTGTGGATGACACAAGCCAAAGTCACAGGGCTGGCTCTAACCTGGAATTACCAACCTCTGCCATGATCTGTGATTTAAAATTAATTTCTAGGTCCCTTCTTCTAGAGCTGTTTTCGAATCTCTCCCTGGCCTGGTCATTCCTGTATGTTTATAGGTTTGTTTGCCCTCTCTCCCTTGGGAGTGTCCCTCTGACCCTATTGGCTTCCAGCCATGTTTGTTGGTGGGAGTGACACCCAGCTCAGTATGCTACCTGTTCCCCACCAGGGAGTGGCAAAGTGCCAACTCAGAGCCACAAATAAAAGCCATCCTGATGGCCTGGAATGAAAGTCATGGTTTTGGCCTCATTTTTCCAAAGTGTTTGTAGTTAATGGCAAGAAAGTAGCCTCTATTATTAGAATTCATCTGGGGAAGGCTTAGTGGAAGGCTTAGGGTCTTGACTGCCCCTTTCCCCCAAATCTCCACCAATATTCAGTCACCCCTAATAAACATGTAGTTTAATTTAAAACAATATGCTTGCTATGCAAATACATCTTCAAAATTGTACTCTTTTTTTTTTTTTTTTGCAGTTTTTGGCCGAGGCTAGGTTTGAACCCTCCACCTCCAGCGTATGGGGCTGGTGCCCTACTTCTTTGAGCCACAGGCGCTGCTGCCCAAAATTATACTCTTAACACTGTTCCCTAAACTCTTGCATTCTAAGCAAACTGCTGCCCTTAATCCCTTCCTAAAACAGAAATTCTGGATGGTACTTGGAGAAAACTCCCTTGAGACTTCCTGTCCTGTTTAAGGATTCCTGAGCGTTTTGTCCATCCTAGCGACACAGAAGAAGGGAGGAGACAGGGAGAGTTTCTATGGACTTTTGTTTTATTTTTAAAGTTTTCAAGGCCTTGTAATTCCTCTAACAGTGGTACTATAAAGAAACTTGAACGGTGTTTGTGTGAACAGTGGGGTTTTTTGTTGTTACATCGAGTGCCTTGTACATTACTGGTGATTATTGAGGAACTGACTTTCACATTTATGGGCTCTCTAAAACTCACATTTTCCTACCTTACATTCCAGATATTTAATTGCTGTTTGGCAGAAGTAGGGAAAATGAAAGGTCACGTTTTGGTTTTTTGGTCCTTTTATGTGTGTTTGCAGGGTTGACTTGTTAAAAATTTTGTACTTGTGAAAATGTGTAATAGGAAAGAAACAAATCTTGCCCAAATACGGGGTGAGAGTGATAGGTGAGTTTCAACAAACCTTTTTTTCTTCAGAGTTTATTATTTGGATAATTAATATTTATTGATATTATAATCATATGTGTATGTATATATAAATTATTTATTTTTTTAGCTTTTTTAAAATTAAATCATCGCTGTGTACATTAATGTAGTCATGGGGCACAGTGTGCTGGTTTTATATACAATTTGAAATATTTTCATCAAACTGGTTAACATAGCCTTCATGGCATTTTCTTAGTTATTGTGTTAAGACATTTATATTCTACATTTAGTAGGTTTCACATGTACCCTTGTAAGATGGACCATAGGTGTGGTCCCACCAACTACCAGCCCTCAACCCATCAATATATAAATTATTGTTTGGATAATTCCCTTGGTTTCTTACTAGATGTCAGGGGTGTTCTTCCTTACTTTCCTGAATGTCCTGTTCTTAGGATTTTTTTTTTCTTTGTGGGAAACCCCTCTTCTTAGGGTTTCTTAAAAGTTTTAAAAATCTTGCATGACAATGTTATAGCTTAATCTCTAACCAGCATCTTTGTGGGCTGCAGGTGAGAGCCACTTTGGAAAAAGTGAGGAAGCGAATGTATGGAGACTATGATGAGATGAGACAGAAGATTCGAGAACTCACCAAGGAACTGTCGGTAAGTTAATATTCAGTGACGTGGTAAGATGGAGGTGTGGTACAGGTCAGAACTTTCTGGGGTATATAATGAGTATATAATGTTACAAATAAATGGAATCATATTTTAATGAACTGAGGGAATTTGGTCACATAGTGAAATTTATTATTTAAAGGACAATTTTTGTGGCAAGAATAATAATATTTACATTTGAACCATTCCCACCAAGGTCAGGAACAAGACTAGGAAGATAGATATCACTGCTATTATTTGTTGTACCTGAGATGCTAGCCAATGGAATTAAACAAGGGAAATAAATTTAAAGGTTTAAAAAGAGGACAGGTAGATGTAAAACTATCACTATTTACAAACTATGTGATTATATAACAAGAAAGGCCAAGTGAATTGATGAAAAAAACTACTATAAACAATGAAAGAATTCTGTAAGACAGCAGGGCATAAAATTAATACAGAGAGATTTCAATAGATTGAAAAAAAAGCTAAGAGAAAAATAGCAACAGAAAATATTAAATATCTAAAAACTTTAACAAATGGAAAGACACATCATGTGTTTAGAGAGGAGGAGTCGACGTAGGATGTCAGTATTATCTGGGTTAATGCACACATTTATGTGATTCAATAAAAATACCAACAATACCAATAACATTTGGTTTTTATTTTGTTTTTTACAAATGGACTAGGTGATTCTTAGGTTGTATAGAAAATAAATACGAAGAGTTGGGAAAATTCTGGGGAAAACCATTGAGAAGGACTAGCCCTATCAATGTTAAACTGAAGAGGCCTCAGAGATTAAAATATCAGTGAAAAAAAGTCCCAAAATGTATTACCCTAGTATATGATAAATATAGCATTTCAATTGAAGGAGGAAAGAGGACTTATCAGTGTATCCTATGGGCATAACTTGCATGCTGTTGAGACCATCTTATACCAGGACCAACTCCAAATGGAACAAAGATTTAAATCCTAAAAGTAGAACTTAAGGCTTGGCGCCTATAGCTCAACCGGCTAAGGCGCCAGCCATGTATACCTAAGGTGGTGGGTTTGAATCCCCAGCCCGGACCCGCCAAACAACAATGATGGCTGCAACCAAAAAATAGCCAGGCGTTGTGGTGGGCGCCTGTGGTCCCAGCTACTTGGGAGGTGGAGGTAGGAGACTCGCTTGAGCCCAGGAGTTGGAAGTTGCTGTGAGCTGTAATGCCATGGCACTCTGCCCAGGGGGACAGCGTGAGGCTCTGTCTCAAAAAAAAAAAGAACTTAAAAGTGTTAGTACAAAACGTGAATTCATTTATACCTTTGGGGTGGCAAGGCCTTTTCTTATTATGACATAAAGTCCTAAAACCGTGAAAGAAAAGGTTGATAACTTTGACTACCTTAAAATGAAAAACTTTAGTTGAGCTGGTAAAAGTACCCAGCTCAGAGTCAAAGGACAGAATGGGAAAGATGATTTTACCTTTTTATCATAGATAGCAGGCTAATTTTCTGAATATTTAAAGAGCTCCATTGACTCAAGAAAAATCCCACAACTCATAAAAACAGGTGAAAGATTTGTAACAGGTAATTTATCATGAAGGAAAGATGGAGAGCTTTTAAATATTTGACAAAACTTTAACCTCACTCACAGGAAAAGAAACCTAGATCAAAACCATCCTGAGATTTAATTTTTACTCATGAGACTGGCCAGACTGTATGAGTGGGGCAAGACATTGTCAACAGAGCTGTGGGTAAGCAGGAAGGTTGCTGATGGGAATGCAATTTTGTATTCTCTTAGGGAGAGCAACTTGGTACTATCTATCAAAATGGCAGATGCCTTTGGCCCAGCAATTCTGTTCCTAAGAATTGTTCTACTGACTCTCACATATGAAAAATAACGTATGATGAAGTTCTTTTTTTTTTTTTTTT